TATTATAAAACACAGGTAATACATGATTATGTATATACATACAATATTACCGTTCATAAATACACCATGGGTAAAGACAGATTAATCAAGCAAGTTTGATTTTATCCACAATTACATCACACTTCATTCTGAGGGAAACAATGGTTAATATTATTTCTAAATTTTTAGTGACATCCAACCCATAATCACACGCTGTTATGGTAGAAATATGTTTTTCACTCCAGTTTGGAACTTTTGTTTGGGATCAAAGAGCATCCACATGAAGAGAACCTCATGCAGCCCATCGTTACTCATACTTGTTGACGAACAATTGAGTGTATCTTGAATCAAAACATTACAAACATAAAATATCCTAATGTGTACAAGTAAATTCTTTGAAAGCAGTCTTTTCATCCATATATTGAAACAAAATGTTGGTTTTATAAAACATTTCATTGGAACAACTTCTGTGTTAGAATTGTAAATCCATACTTGTCAAAACAGCTGCAGCTCATTAAGCAGGTTTAGAAAGCATAGGAAGTCTGGTCGAGGCTTGTTATTTACAGACCACCAACATATAATTCAGTATGTTATGAGACCGATAATTCGTGTGTTATGAGACCGAAGTATTTTATTGATTACCCACGTCTTACATGCTTTAAATTGATAAAATAGCGTATTTTTGTTATTGTTATGGTTTCAAACCCGAACCGGGTTTCATAAAGAGGTTGCGGAAGAATGTTGTTCTGTTTGCAGTACGTCACTACACCTAATGATCTGTCCCCTTGGTAACCGATGCCTTGCATGTCAGTTGTCATAACCTCGCATTAGACCTCCTACATTAAACTATTCCATAGCACCCCGTTCCTTAGTTTGCAGTTGTTTCACTCGGCTACATCACTGGTGGAAAATTTGCGTTTATGTTTTTCGACGCATATAATGTCTCAGTTCAACTCACAATTAAACAGCGATACAGCAACGTTCGCAATGTTTACATTCCCACAATGCATTTAAGTTATAGAATGAATAAATTCACGTGTTTGTTATGAATGAAAAAGTAGTTCCGTCACAACGTGACCTATTTGAGAGGTCATCGGTTATCCAATCAAATCGTTAGAATCTCAGGTCAAGTCGTTACTACACAGGTCAACGCGATACGACACTCGTGTGACGTACGAGATTAGTATGCAACTACCCATACATTAACCACGTGGGTAATAAAGCTGGAATATTGCGGAGTGTGGTGATAAACAACAACAAAAAAAAAACTAAGATCCAAGTTGGCCACCAAAGTAGTTGATGCAATGCAACTGAAGGGATTTATAGCACAAGGAGTTATATGAGCACCCAAAAAGAAATTAGTGCAGGGGCTTGTGTAATTCCGTGGGAATTACATGTTAATTTTTGGAACAAATACTAATTGTAATCACTATTGTGTATGGATTCAGAAAAATATGGTTCCATTTTTTCTGTTTGCTATAAGTGTCATTGTGGGGTGATTGAATATGAGTTACCAAAATTGCTTGCGACACCATTTCGAGAAAAACATGTTTTCATAAACATATCACAACATGGTCATGTAGCATATCAAAAGGTAGGTTATGATGTATGACATAGAGATAACCACATAATATGCTTCTAATTTCAATTTGGTGACAGAAAATATAACATAATCATATAAATTAATCAAATATTGTCTTTCCTTCATCAGACACCAACATTGTAAGTACTGACCTGTATTACCTTAAAGTAAACCATTTATTCAATTCATGTATTCTCCCATTCCATAATATATACTACTATGACACACTTATGTAGTAATAATGGTATCCAGGTAAGGTTAATGTGACTATCATATAGTCATGCACATGTGTCAAATCAGGCCTACCAGTACAGTCAGAATTGACACACTGACACACGTGTCTGGGTAATTAAATGACAAATGACATAAAGCCAAATCTGCAGTCAAAATAAACTGAATGTATTAATACAGGAGTGACAAATTATATCACAGTGAACAGATAACTACATATTACAAGTGGGGTATGCAAGTGCAATATATACTACCCATCAAAAGTTTAGACTCACTAGTGTAAATGTAGCCACTTACTTCAGTCAACTGTTCTAAATTAGATTTTGCAAAATATTCCATACTGTTTAAAGGTACTGTTTACACATGAACTGATGTATTGTGAAACAAATTCGCAACGTTGAAAAGATTATTGTCATGAGTTCAATAAATGATGAAACTCAGTGAAAATTGGCGAATTCTTAACAAACCTTTACACCAAAACGCAGCTGTTCACATGCACTATATTTGCACATGCTTTACAGCAATTTGATGCATGATTCTCGTGCGATTTATCTGCATAACGTTTGCAGGTGGTTCCCCAAAGTTAGTGGAGAAATTCATATCCGATGTAACCACACACACACACACACACGCACACACACACACCATATAGTGAGTATTTTAAATAAGTCTAAACTTTTGATGGGTAGTATATAATGTGCACTAGTATAATTATTTTAACTTTCACATTAAGTAACTTGCATATTCAATCAACCCGTCATTAACCTGCAAGAACAAAATATGCTGTTGAAATACATGCTTCGACATTATTTGTCCTACAAACACAAGCATGAATTCCATCCATAACTTTTTGAGATATTATTCATATTCTCCAGTTAGTTAACATTGTGGTTATTTTCAAAGTACCTCTGTGTATATGTACTTTGACATACTCTCTTCAAAAAAAGAAAAGCAAAATAGAATTAGAAAATAATGATCGAAAGGTGGTGTAACGCGGTGCAGCCATGGAAACTTGGAAACTGGAGGCACATATAGTTCAGTGATGAATCGTGGTATCCCCTCAAGCGACGTGACGGAAGACGTGTCTGCAGACCACGCAATGAACGTTTTGCATCCAACTGCAGCAGGCAAGTGGACAGATTTGGTGGAGATGGTGTGATGATGTGGGCTTCCCCTTTCATATAAAAAGCATCTCATACACCTGCTCGTTGCTCATTGTTGCTTGTCCAAGGCATTCTTAAGACCACTCGATATATCGACCAAATACTCTGTCCTCACGTGCATCGCCTTGTCGACCGCCAAAGGGAGCTGTAGCAACAGGACAACGCCAGACCTCACACAGCACGTGCTACAGTGGGCTACCTGGCCAATAACAACATCAGTGTCCTTCCCTGGCCCTCCAGATCCCCGGATCTGAAACCAATTGATTACTTGTGGGATCCGATAAATAAATGTGTACTTCAACGTCGTAATCAGAAATTGAGGCTTTAACAGTAACTGTTGTTCAGTATGCTGCGGAGGAATGGAGAAGGATTCCACAACGAAACATCCAACAACTGATTCAATCTGTGTCAATGAAGGTGTCATGCAGTTCTAACAGTAAGAGGTGGTCATACAAGGTCCAACGTCACCTCGTGGACAGCAGTAACGACTATGATGACTACCATTCTTGTGAAATGTGCACCAGATACCAATGTATTGCTCTACATAATTTCAATGCTGTACCATTTATTTTCGTTGATTTACATAACTGAATAATATTTTGCTTTTGCGTTTCTTTTTTTGAAGAGTATACTTTCTTCAACATCTAATTGATTTGTCCTGGGGACATACCCCAGAGATCCAGTAAGTTTCATTGAAATCCATCTCATAGTTTTTGAGTAAAGATACTAACACATAAATACACACATACACACACAAACAGGGTTGAATGCATACCCTCTGCAACAAACCTTCGGTTTTGGCAGTAGCAATTATGATCATAATTATGATCATAGTAATTATGATCATATACAGAGTATACCCCGAGAAAAAAACTGTTCAAGGCCAAACTATACCCAGTGTTTAAAACAGCCTAGGTAGCCTATGCCCCTCCAGGCCAGAATATATCCCTCTTGTGTAACAAGGCTTTGACAGAATGAACTGGCCTAGGCCAATTTAAACCTGGAGTATAGGTTGGTCTAGGCCATAATATACCCGGGTATAATCTGGCCTAGTCCACCTTAACCCAGGTATACCTTAGTTGGGCTATTCTGGGGGTGTAATCTGTCCTGTGAGGCATGAATTGGCCAAGGCCATAATATACCCAGGGTATATTCTAGCCTAGGCCGCTTTAACCCCAGGTATAGTTTGGCCTAGGGTATACTATACTGTTACACCAGCATAAAATATGAGTCCCATCTGTGGCTAGTACATTAATCATTATTTAAAAGCTCTGCAATATCTAGATATCAGCATGAAATGACCCGCCCGAATAAGTGTTTATAAAGCAATCAGCATTGTCTTATCCAGGACGTGGCCAGCAGTCGAAGCTGTGAATATGAGCTCAAATCTTTATTGTCAATGTGTGCAGTAATTGAGAGAACCACATGATACAACACTGTATATGAGAGTGACAAGACTGGTTCAGTTTTAGTCGTAGGTAACTGTGTCAGCTCTACAATCCGCACGCTCTGTCTAAACCAGATTATTTCTTCAGTCCCCAACGAGTGCTGGTTTAGACAGCTTCCAGTGTATTGTGTTCATCCTTAAATCCCCACATAGCTAAACTGGAAGAACACTCATGCTTCCATCTGTCCATGTTGTGATCAATGTATCACACAGGATATTTAATAGTGGTTTTCAAATAGTGGTTGTCAAATACACCATCAATACAGAAGGAATTATACAGACAGCAATATGCATTTAAATGGGTCTGATAACTTTCAGTTATCCCAGTAGAACCCGGTATATTGTTTATTAAACATGTTAAAGTATCGCAGACCCGTGAAGGTCCGGGTTAGAATGAATCTTCAGTAACCCATGCTTGTTGTAAGAGGTGACTAACGGGATCAGGTGGTCAGGCTCGCTGACTTGGTTGACACATGTCATCAGTTCCCAATTGCGCAGATCGATGCTCATGCTGTTGATCACTGGATTGTCTGGTCCAGACTCGATTATTTACAGACCACTGCCATATAGCTGGAATATTGCTGAATTCGGCGTAAAACTAAACTCACTCACTCACTAAAGTATCGCATGCATTTATACACATATATATACACAATATATACATAAGAATGAAGTGTGCTGAGCCACAAATTGACTTCTGAGATAATTAAAATCAACCTGTACAAGATAAAATGCATGAAAAGAGAATTTCAATCAATATATATGATAACACTGTAACAAAGAAAGCAGAATATCAAGGAATCCACATAACATCATTTGCTTTAAACATTTTAAACAATGTCGAACCTGAGTTTATAAGACGTTAAACTTATCTATTGGCCAATATCAGAGCATCTTTTAAAGTCATGCTGTGGTGGTGATTACGGACCCTGACCTTTAGCCTTAACAAGTGGCTTGATCTTTGACCAGTGGCTGTGTATGATATCAACACAGTCACAATATCAGTTTATTGCCTCAAAGAATCACACAGACATTTATACAATAAACTTAACATAGCGATCATTACACTAACACTGTTTGGTGAGGTTTCTAGAGCTCTCCATTCCCCTCTCATATCTGTGACACTTGTGGATGATCAGTGAATACAGGGAAGGTCACTCTTCCTCTCCCATTGCTGTGTCACGGTGATTCATAGCAGTGAGAGGGAAGAGTCATTCTTGTCCCGCCTGTATGACTGATGGTCGTCAGGACACATGTTCACTAGACAGTCTCTTTCTTTTGGGTCTGTTTTCGTCTGGAAATAGAGAAGGTGACAGTGTAACCCACTTAAATAAAAACATGACCAGGTAGGAGTGAGTGAGTATGGTTTTACGCTGCCTTTACCAACATTCCAGCAACATAACAGCGAGAGAGAAAAGAAATGGGTTTCACACATTGTGCCCATGTGGGAATTGAACAAGGGCCTTTGGCATGATGAGTGGATGTTTTAACCACTGGACTACCCCACAACCCCTTTTGTAACAAGAACTGACTATCTATCCTCGACCCCCAACAGGGTAGGTGCATGACAACAGCCTGGTATATCCACACAGAACCAAACCCTCAGCACAAATACAGGCAGCAGGTGACTAGCCCAATCGTTTTGCCGTATCAAGGCCAGATCACTACATCCTGTTATGCTGTTGTATTATTCTGCTGAGACTTACCTGCTGACTTCCTGTTGTTCAGCTCCTCCAGGTTGTCAGGGTACACCACCTGGCTCCACACCTCGATCTCATCTGAAACAAACACATCCCAACATTTAAAGCACCTGGCTCCACACCTCGATCTCATCTGAAACAAACACACCGTATCATAAGACTACCTGGCTCCACACCTCGATCTCATCTGAAACAAACACTCCCATCTGAAACAAACATAAGACTACCTGGCTCCACACCTCGATCTCATCTGAAACAAACACTTCCCAACATTAAAACACCTGGCTCCACACTCGATCTCATCTGAAACAAACACACCCCAACATAAGACTACCTGGCTCCACACCTCGATCTCATCTGAAACAAACACACCCCAACATAAGACCACCTGGCTCCACACCTCGATCTCATCTGAAACAAACACAACCCAAGACATGGCTCTCCACACCCTGATCTCATCTGAAACAAACACACCCTAACATAAGACCACCTGGCTCCACAACTCGATCTCATCTGAAACAAACACACCCCAATATAAGACTACCTGGCTCCACACCCTGATGTCATCTGAAACAAACACACCCCAACATAAGACTAATTGGCTCCACACCCTGATCTCATCTGAAACAAACACACCCCAACATAAGACTTCCTGGCTCCACACCTCGATCTCATCTGAAACAAACACACCCAACATAAGACTAATTGGCTCCACATCCAGATCTCATCTGAAACAAACACACCCCATCATAAGACCACCTGGCTCCACACCTCGATCTCATCTGAAACAAACACACCCCAACATAAGACCACCTGGCTCCACACCTTCATCTCATCTGGAACAAACACACCCCAACATAAGACCACCTGGCTCAACACCTAGATCTCATCTGAAACAAACACACCCCATCATAAGACCACCTGGCTCCACACCTCGATCTCATCTGAAACAAACACACCCCATCATAAGACCACCTGGCTCCACACCTCGATCTCATCTGAAACAAACACACACCCCAACATAAGACCACCTGGCTCCACACCTCAATCCCATCTGAAACAAACACACCCCATCATAAGACCACCTGGCTCCACACCTCGATCTCATCTGAAACAAACACACCCCAACATAAGACCACCATGAAACTCCACACCATAAGACCACCTGGCGATCTCATCTGAAACAAACACACCCCATCATAAGACCACCTGGCTCCACACCTCGATCTCATCTGAAACAAACACACCCCACCATAAGACCACCTGGCTCCACACCTCGATCCCATCTGAAACAAACACACCCCATCATAAGACCACCTGGCTCCACACCTCGATCTCATCTGAAACAAACACACCCCACCATAAGACCACCAGTCTCTAGACTGCTATACGAGACACCAAGCAGCTTACCAAAGTCCTCCTCTGCCAACAGTGGTGCTGGTCCAGTTGGAAGTTTGCACTGTAGATCCTTGTTCTCCACAGATTTGCGGGACAGAGGTGCTGGTGTAGATGTTGCTACCGGGGACCCAGGCTGGGGGATGTTGCAGCTGCAGTCACTTTGGATGCACGTCTGGTTCGGGGACTTGTGGCTGTGAGGGTGAAGGACATGTCACAAAAGATGGCAAGCATCAGACAAGAAAGACGTGTAATGATTCTTTAAAGTACAGATGGCTGGAAATGTCCAAACATTTGGTTTTCTATATGAAGTCTTAACCAAAGTTTTCCTGAATGCTTATGAATAACAATTACTTTATTGAACATAGAGATTTTTTCTGGGTTACATCTTCATTTTATTCTTGAGTGCAACGTTTCAGGGCTTGTTGTACTCAAGAATAAAAAGAAGATGTAACCCAGAAAAATCACTATGTTCATCTAGAATAGCATCTTCTCAAATGCCAGTCAAGCATCTGATTTCTTTATTGTTTGTAAGGTTGGTTGGTTTGTTGTTCATGATACCAAGTTATATTGGAAGAAAATATGTTGGAAAAACTTGTCAGGGATAAACATGCTTCATGTTCTACCCACTTCCAAATGGTTATAACAGACTAAGTTTTCCTATTCAGATGCTGTTACCGTTTTCCTTCTCTCCACCGGAGTGTTTGTGCTTCAGCTTGGCCTGAAACTCCTGCTGCTTCAGCTTCTGCCGAAGAATGCGCTCCTGCCGTGCTCGCTCCTCCTCATTCCTGTAGTTCCTGCAAACACGTTTGTTCCCCTTCAAAGTAGGATATCTTTATATAACTTACTTATATACCTGTTTACCAACTTCACAATGGCACATTCAGCCGGTGTTAATATTCCACCTGTATAACAGTGGCCTGTATATAACAGAATCAGGACCAGATAATCCAGTGATTGATATTTTGAGCAAAGGACTCATTATCAAGTCAAGGTACAACGCAATGCAACAAGGTCACAGAGCCTGATAACTCTATCAGGTAACTCTGTATGACCTGCAAAGTGTGCCAGGGGCCTACTGTAACCATGAATCCATACAGGTGCAGGTTGAGGAATAATATAAAAAACATCAAAACTTGTTAAAGTCTTCCAGGAAGAAGTCAGGCTAATTGTGTCTGGCTCCATGTAGCATCTTCCTCTGTTTATTAACGACCAACTGGAAAGACACAAACTTGAGCTATCCCCTTCAGGATTCTGTTTGAGGGGTGATCACTAGTAACTTCTGCAGGCTGGAAGCAGGAAATTCCAGGGACATAAAGGTCATACAGACACCCTTATCCAACACCAGACAAACTGATTTGTACAAAGTGCAAGAGAAGCAGGTTTCTGTCCTACTCAAACATACATACCCTTTAGCTAGCATCTGCTCCACCAGCACTGAAGTGCTGACGTAAGTCCCATCCACTTTGGTCTCAGTTTCCATGGTAACCATCTGTGATTCACCCTTGACCTTGTTCTGTTCACCCTCACTGACATGCCCGGCATCATAAGCTTCGACATTCTTGCCATCAGTAACAGCACAAACTGCTGCAACATCGTCATCATCCATGTTGAACGAGGTATGAACCTCATCCTTCCCAGCCCCGGACTTGGTGCTCAGTACCACCCTGTCTGGGAGCTCACTGGCAGGGTCAGCTCTGGCCGCCATTGCTGGGATAGGCACCATCCCGGCCGGTGGCTCACTAGAAGGATCAGGTCTAGAGGCCGTGGTTATGCTGGTCCCTGGTCTGTTCACTCCATATGGATATGGGCGCGGAAATGTTGGCCTCTTCCAAGACTTTGCAATAGACTTGTCAATTGTCTGATGCTTCATATCTTCTACTTTGTACACTTCTGGGGGCTGAAAGTAGCATACATATGTCAAATAAAACACAACAACACACACTAAGTTAAAGGTTATTGGCTGGACTTATTGATTGATTTCAAGGCTAGCATGGAACTTTTACAGATTTAGTGGATGGACTGACACTCAGGTGTGGGTTTTGACTGACACATTTATAGATATCAGGCTGGACTGATACACAGTTTCGGAGGTAGACTGACTGACTGACTGACTGAGTTTAGTTTTACGCCGCTTTTAGCAATATTCCAGCAATATCACGGCGGGGGACACCAGAAATGGGCTTAACACATTGTGCCCATGTGGGAATCGAACCACCCATTGGTCGGTCTTCGGACGGTTACGAGCCAACGCTTTAACCACTAGGCTACCCCTGACATCGCCCCTCAGAGGTAGACAAATACACTTAAAAGGTTAAGGGGCTGGACTGTTGCACCCATTGGTCCAGGTCTGACTGATACCCTGACAGGTTAAGGGGCTGGACTGTTGCACCCATAGGTCCAGGTTTGACTGATACCCTGACAGGTTAAGGGGCTGGACTGTTGCACCCATAGGTCCAGGTTTGACTGATACCCTGACAGGTTAAGGGGCTGGACTGTTGCACCCATAGGTCCAGGTTTGACTGATACCCTGACAGGTTAAGGGGCTGGACTGTTGCACCCATAGGTCCAGGTTTGACTGATACCCTGACAGGTTAAGGGGGACTGGACTGTTGCACCCATAGGTCCAGGTTTGACTGATACCCTGACAGGTTAAGGGGCTGGACTGTTGCACCCATAGGTCCAGGTTTGACTGATACCCTGACAGGTTAAGGGGCTGGACTGTTGCACCCATAGGTCCAGGTTTGACTGATACCCTGACAGGTTAAGGGGCTGGACTGTTGCACCCATAGGTCCAGGTTTGACTGATACCCTGACAGGTTAAGGGGCTGGACTGTTGCACCCATAGGTCCAGGTTGGACTGATACCCTGACAGGTTAAGGGGCTGGACTGTTGCACCCATAGGTCCAGGTTTGACTGATACCCTGACAGGTTAAGGGGCTGGACTGACACACTTACAGGTTTAGGGGTTCGACCGATACACTTTAGGTACTCCTTGTCTCCGAGGCAGTTGCCCATACAGTTACCAAAACTCCTGCAGACAGAAACAACAACTTGATTTAACATGGCAACAAAAGTAAAAAAAAGTATATATCATATATCCTAAAGTACTTTTCGTAAAGTTAGGACTGGGAGAGATTCATATATATCACCATGTCACACATGTGTCAGATATTAGTATACTGGCTGGCGAACAGTTATCGCCGCATAACAGTTATCGCCAACACATCAGTATCACACTTTTCCCCACGGTAGTAGACAATAATAAAGGACAGCAAAAGAAAATTCTGCACGGTAAGTAACATAAGAAAAAATTAAAGATAAAGGTATGAACCCTATAAATGTTTATTAACTTGGTTGGGGGGATGTCACATGATCTATATACACAGAATAGCAAGTTTAAGTTCCCTATGAATCTACTTAAAATAAACACTCAAATAGTCACATAATCAATTATTCGAGGTTACGGTATGATATAAAAAGATATTATTTCACGAATGGCAGGAGAAATTCTGAATGGAGATAACAGTTACAGTTAGTTGTGAGAAAACATTTATATGTACTGCCGTGATTCCCTTCCGCCGGGAAACACGACCAGCGGCAGTGAATGGGCTTTTCACATCGGCGAATAGCTAATTAAGTATCATAATTAATTTTGCTTCACTTATGTAACGAACGGCAGAATAATTTTGTAAATACCACTGTAATATGGCGATAACTGTTCGGTAGTCAGTACACCTATCCTGTACAGTGCAGTTCAGACATAGAGCACATGCTTACATGCAAGTTTGATGGCTGCAGTATGTGAGGATTGGCTCTAACAGGAGAATGTTTGGATGATTTCGGAGCTTATATTATCCACACGTCACAAACTTAGAGTGCAATATTCACAAGCCTGTATGAAAAGTTTTCTTGTCATAATGCTATCTCAAAAGAATTCCTCAAGTGAGCTTCAACAAATTCATGTGTTATATAATCCAGGTTCGGTTTGGGTGGTGAGGTAGCTTAATGGATAAAGCATCAGCTCGTCATGCTGAAGATCCAAGTTTGATTCCCCACATGGGTACAATGTGTGAAGCCCATTTCTGGTGTTCCCCACCATGATATTGCTGGAATATTGCTAAGAGCAGCGTAAAACTATGTTCACTCACTCACTCCAGGTTCTTAAAGACCGAAATGGATATTAAATTCTGTAACCTGTGCCACAAAACAGCTATCTTCTGTCATAGTATTCAAATAACGTTATAAACATTTTTTTTTACTTCTTGGACACATTTATTCTGGCAATGAGATATTAAATTATATTTTCAGTTTGAAAACAAAAGTGACACAGGGAGAACACAACTACCATACACAGTACTCCGATATTTAATACAATGTCAGCTGTCCAGAATTCTTTTTTGTGACTAACAGAGAATGTATCAATTGTGGAACATGAGAAAAATATTTTATTAATTGGCAATTAAAATGGCTGATGTAACAGAATTGAGAGGAGATATGACCTACAAACATTTTTGTTCCACTTAAAAGTGTGGGCAGGTCAAGTTTAAACATCAGAGGACACCTATACATGCATTTGTAATTAAATGAAAACCAGTTAGAAATGAAAGACAAGTATTCAACATGCTCAACAATGTGTAGAAAATGTTACTGACTTGAGAGCTCGCTTCAGTCCATCAGTGACAGCTTCCTTCCTGGCCTTCTCAAGGGACAGGGCCTTAGACCGGAGTCCCTCACTCACTCCATACCCGATGTCCTCATGGTACACGCCATCCTTGAGATACATCATACACATGTTTAGTACAAGATGGCCTTAGACCGGAGTCCCTCACTCACTCCATACCCGATGTCCTCATGGTACACGCCATCCTTGAGATACATCATACACATGTTTAGTACAAGATGGCCTTAGACCGGAGTCCCTCACTCACTCCATACCCGATGTCCTCATGGTACACGCCATCCTTGACATACATCATACACATGTTTAGTACAAGATGGCCTTAGACCGGAGTCCCTCACTCACTCCATACCCGATATATCCTCATGGTACACGCCATCCTTGACATACATCATACACATGTTTAGTACAAGATGGCCTTAGACTGGAGTCCCTCACTCACTCCATACCCGATATGTCCTCATGGTACACGCCATCCTTGACATACATCATACACATGTTTAGTACAAGATGGCCTTAGACCGGAGTCCCTCACTCACTCCATACCCGATGTCCTCATGGTACACGCCATCCTTGAGATACATCATACACATGTTTAGTACAAGATGGCCTTTAGACTGGAGTCCCTCCTCACTCCATCCCGATATATCCTCATGGTACACGCATCCTTGACATCATACACATGTTTAGTACAAGATGGCTTTAGACCGAGTCCCTCACTCACTCCATACCCGATGTCCTCATGGTACACGCCATCCTTGACATACACATGTTTAGTACAAGATGGCCTTAGACCGGAGTCCCTCACTCACTCCATACCCGATGTCCTCATGGTACACGCCATCCTTGACATACATCATACACATGTTTAGTACAATATGGCCTTAGACCGGAGTGCCTCACTCACTCCATACCCGATATCCTCATGGTACACGCTTGCCTCCTGACACATACATCATATACACATGTTTAGTACAAGATGGCCTTAGACTGGAGTACCTCACTCACTCCATACCCGATATCCTCATGGTACACGCCATCCTTGACACACATCATACACATGTTTAGTACAAGATGGCTTTAGACCGAGTCCCTCACTCACTCCATACCCGATATCCTCATGGTACACGCCATCCTTGACACACATCATACACATGTTTAATACAAGATGGTACCTGACACTCCATACACATGTTTAGTACAAAATTACCCCAAACACTGTGTTGGGAGAGATGCACAAAAATACCAAAAGTGTACCTGACAAGAAACTTGAAACAAAGATCAAGTAAACAGTAAACAGGTAACATCCAGGGGCAGATAACTCTAAATCAAAGAGTATGAATCTGGTACTTCCTGTATTTTGCGATGCACATTTATCAACGGAAGTCAATTACTAAACTATTCTAATTCAACTTAGTATGTAACACGAGTTCTGATTGGTCAATGCTATAAATTTCCGACCGTATAATCAGCATATATGTCGCAATTTGAAAACCGATTCACCGAAACCTTTGAATGTATCCCTATACCATTGGGGTAACGCTGTTTCGCAGGACATTGTCATTTGCAGAAGCCATTGGTCAATTAACTCCCCTATCCAGCTAAAATGGGTGGAATTTGTGTTAAAAAAGACAAAACCGTATCATAAATTTAATTTTAAGTTCAAACAACTTACTCAAGAACGGGCTGTTGACCCAACACTGTTAGATCATGAAACAAGGTTTATGACGCCATTATGGGCGCTGACGCCACCTGCTATGACGCCATTTGACAACAGAACTGATAATGGCCCGTGAAGTTGAGGAATCAGCGGCCTCTCCTTTCTGTAACTAGTGGGCGTTTCATCATAATACCGCCCATTTTATCTATAATACTATGATCTATTCATCATTGTCAAATTTAGTCTGTGTGCACATAATAAACGTGTGTAGTTTGAAAAGGGAACTACTTTCTCTGGCGATGGTGTAAGTTGAAGGAGTGATATGATTAACCTTTGACCTAGAGGAACTTTGACCTGGTTTAAATAATGCATTTCTTTCACGAAAAACAGCGTAAAACGAGTTGATTTAGAATGGGGATAACTGTACTGTGTTTGATGATTGGGGGCATTATACGGTGGTTATATAGCCGCCAAATTTAACGTTATATCGGCTCCGCTTCGCCACGTCGCCGATATAACTAAATTTGCGGCTATATAACCACCGGTATACGTCCCCAATTCGTCAAACACAGTACAGTTATCCCCTAATTGATAGTCACACATACTATCGATGCATCAATAGTTTTTTGTTTCTACCATCGATTAATTGCTATCGGAGACTCAATAACTGCAATCCATCGATAGTTCGATGCATTGTTACAGCCCTAGTATGTGCCATCCTTGACATACTAGTATGCAGGTTTGAAAAGCTGGCCTTGGGCCGGAGTCCCCCACTCACTCCAGTAGTAAAAGACAAAATACAGGAGTGACTAGCAGGTTCTTACACCAAGGCTCTCATTCCACTGACCACATCCCTGGTTGACCAGGTCAACTGTGTCGAGAGTCTGTCACAGGGTGGTGTTTCCCCAGGATGTGTCAGGAAAAAAGATTTTAAAAGATGGCACTTGTCGTTACCTTGCCTGTGATCATCATTAAGAGCTATGAACAGAAGGAAATAGATGTTTTCGTTTTTAGCTTGGGTCAGCGTCCCCGAATACACCCGTCGCTATGCATATATGCACATGGGTTTTAAAATCTCGTGCATTTCGTGGTCATAGCTGACGACAGCGTTAATCAGTTTAACATTGTAAGTTAGTTAGACATATTGTTGAGGGACAAAGACGTCCATACAGAGCTCCAGCCTGGAGTTTCAAATTGCTAATTAGATTGCTTCCATTATCGGGAAGACATTTATACAGACGTTTACTTATCATTCACACTATCGGTGAATGTGCAGTGTGGGGGATTTGTCCTTGGGTTTATTGTTTTGTTTCAGTTTTGGTGTATTAAATGTTCAGACATAATTCTTTTGACTAATCGTTTATTTTATAAATGGGAAATACGAACTGCCTCATTACCAAGCATAAAAGAAAGATTAGTCAGCTCAGAGTCAGGATACTGTATTCGTGTTTTATACATAATAAGTAGGTTTAAACAAGCTGGCCTTAGACTGGATTCACTCACTCACTCTATACCCAATGTCCTCATGGTACACAGCATACATGTTTTGTGTGAGTTTTCATTTGCTAACATTTCCAAAACAAGGTAGTAAAGAAATGAGACAGAATTGTTGTAGAAGAGTAACATATGACTTGCTCAAGTACCAATGCATCCTTCACTTATAAACGTTTGCTGACGGTCCACCTGATGCTGTTTTCTATGGTATAGTCAAACCTTCACACAGTGAGATAGTGGAGTACTGGAGTCAAACTTTACACTCACCTTCAGCTGAACTTTGACCAGAGCGCGCTGACGCCAACATAAAACCGACCATTGTTATGATCAACAAAATCTGCAGAAAAAAATTAAATACTAAAACTTCATGTCATCTTAAAATAATTAAAACTATTTCTAGTTCTACTGAAACTTTTGCAAACATTATGTTTACAAAGCAATACAATTACAGTGAAACCTGCCAACACATGCACACTGTCAAAACCGGTATCAAATTTTGGTTCTGCCATTTTACAACGATATTATGATGATTAAACTATTGTCTAATCCGGCATCTGTATATTCCATATTCCGGCAAGGCTTTCCGGTCCAAACAAGCAATTTTAACTGTAATTAACACTGTCTAAACCGGCATTGGTATGAGCAGTCCAATCAAGGACCCATAATCCAATACACTAATTAATCCTCTTGTCACGCTAGATAATAAGGAAGTAGTGATTGCACAGTGATTCAAACGCTTGTAGGAATTGAACTGAACTGAATTGAATTTATAAGCACTGGGGAGTTGCATTAACTGTTTTCAAGTGAGTGACATGTGTCAGAGAGTAAATAAAAAGGCATTGGTTTTATTGACTCGTCAGTCACTTTATGTCTCATGATGGCTAGACCAGCTAAGCGGGCACGTTTGGAGTTAAGACTTGTTAAAAAATTTCAGCTTATCAATGACTTTGATACTCTTCCTCAGCTTATTGATGACTTTAATACTCTTTCTTGGCCCTCTCAAAAAGAACTTACAGTATAATTTGTTGCACAATTGCAAAAGATCAAAGGATAAAGATATTGACGAGTGTAAATGGCAGCCATGTTTGAAAATGATTGTCACTGTCTAATGCAGCACCCTGACTAAACGAGCATTTTTTTTCAGTCCCGTGGGGTGCTGGTTTAGACAGGTTTCACTGTACTTATAATATACACCAACAAAGACACAAAAACAGTCTCAAAAGAATCATGGGACAGATTCCCAGCAACCAATCCAATCTTCATCTCATAGCTATGATGGCTGCTACAGTTCCAGATATTAGAAATATCTAAGCGTTGTGGCCTTCCTTCCAGTCACTATAGATATGTCACATGGTCACCTATCCCATCTACTATTTTAGCTTACCCACAGTCTGGTGAGACACCGAGTGTGCCCAACCATTGAAGCCAAATGTCTCATTTGTGAGATTGATCAGCCGCCACCCCTCAATGTAGGCAAGCTGAAACATAACACATGATTGTGATAATTACCGATTCATTAAACCTGTTAATTATACCTTCAATGTCATACTCATAGTACTTTTATGCTGTTGATCACTGGATTGTCTGGTCCAGTTTCAATTATTTACAGACCACAGCCATGTAGCTATAGCCAAGTGGTTAAAGCATTTGCTCATCACGCCAAAGACCCAGGTTCAATTCCCCACATGGGTACATAGTGTGAAGCCCATTTCTGGTGTTCCCCGTTGTGATATTGATGGAATATTGCTAATAGCTTGTAAAACCATACTCACTCACTCACTCACTATAGCTGGAATATTGCTGACTGTGATGTTAAACAACAATCAGGTGAATGAAACTGACAAACCTCAAGTTCTGTTAAATGTACCACATATGCACAATACTACCCCTGTCCAATGTTGCATGTTTCATGCTAGCCAGACAGCAAATGAGGTGAGGTGAAATTGGGTTTAACGTCGTGCTTGTTGAGAATATTTCGCCATATGGCGGCGTGCATGCGTGTGTATGTGCTCGCGGCTGCTTGTACTAGCCCAGACTGAAGCTGGTTTTATAGTGCTAGCCCACTGAGATACCATGCTGCAGTGAAGCATGAATACCCCACTCAGAAACATTATACTGACTCCTGCCGACCAGTCCTTGTTGTACCCATTAATACCGAAGCCCAGGCAGGGACCAACAAGTACCATATTTTAACGTTGTTTTGGTATGACGCTGTCGGGGATTGAACTCAGCGACCTTCTGCTCTCCAGGCGGACGCTCTAACCACTACACCACGGAGGCGGTCAGACAGCAAATGAGACACAAAAGGGTTGTTCAGTGACCATGTGGTGACAAATAATGCTGACCTTGAGTCCAGCTGCACCTGTTCTCTGGCTGATGAATTCTGGGCCAAGTCGCTGGCGGAGAGCATTCTGGATGGCGGTGTGTTCCTCATCAGAGAACTCAGCCTACAATATAGACACACGTGTACACTTCAGCCTACAATATAGACACACGTGTACACTTCAGCCTACAATATAGACACACGTGTACACTTCAGCCTACAATATAGACACACGTGTACACTTCAGCCTACAATATAGACACACGTACACTTCAGCCTACAATATAGACACACGTGTACACTTCAGCCTACAATATAGACACACATGTACACTTCAGCCTACAATATAGACACACGTGTACACTTCAGCCTACAATATAGACACACGTGTACACTTCAGCCTACAATATAGACACACGTGTACACTTCAGCCTACAATATAGACACACGTGTACACTTCAGCCTACAATATAGACACACATGTACACTTCAGCCTACACATACAGACACACATGTACACTTCAGCCTACAATATAGACACACACGTGTACACTTCAGCCTACAATATAGACACACACTGTACACTTCAGCCTACAATATAGACACATACACTTCAGCCTACAATATAGACACACATGTGTACTTCAGCCTACAATATAGACACACGTGTACACTTCAGCCTACAATATAGACACACGTGTACACTTCAGCCTACAATATAGACACACGTGTACACTTCAGCCTACAATATAGACACACATGTGTACACTTCAGCCTACAATATAGACACACGTGTACACTTCAGCCTACAATATAGACACACATGTACACTTCAGCCTACAATATAGACACACACGTGTACACTTCAGCCTACACACTTCAGCCTACAATATAGACACACACATGTACACTTCAGCCTACAATATAGACACACGTGTACACTTCAGCCTACAATATAGACACACATGTACACTTCAGCCTACACTATAGAGACACGTGTACACTTCAGCCTACAATATAGACACACGTGTACACTTCAGCCTACAATATAGACACACGTACACTTCAGCCTACAACAAATATGTATGTGTACAAATCAGCCTACAGGAAATACTTATGCATACACATAGTAACCATGGTGAATGTCATTCTCCCCCCTCTGGCTACATGCAAGCGGTTTTCTATTTCTCCAGGTCATACTGTGTATTCATTGAGTTCATGATGTTCATTTATCACTAAGGTCATTTAATAATGATTGTCAGAAGATATCTGAATTTCATATACGCCACCTAGGTGCATTCATTAAGAACCATACCACCCTAGTTTTATTCACGGCATTGCCACTCAAATACAACACATTTAAATACTGGATACACAATAAATCAGCATACTGCAACAATCTGATGTCACTACAACAGACCTGAGACCTATTCTGTCGCCATATTGTCTCTTCGTTAACCAGAGGTACAGATAAGCTGCGCATCTGCGTAAATTACGCATATATTTATGTGAAATATTTATGTGAAAACTCAATTCATATTAAGTATATTGCGTACAAGTATGATTGAATTTTTGTAAATACTCAATACCTAATAATGTGATCCTACATGCATACACACAAAAACATCAAGTCTTAGCTTGCCTACCGATGGATAGATAAAATAACTGAGGCATACTGAGAGGTTCTATTTCAGGACATGAATTTAACAACTTGCAGTCTTTATTACCATTTCTCCTATAACAGATCAAATATAAATAACAAACACTAACATTTAAACTTTGATATATTTTTACAATTAATGGAAAATGGCAAAATACCCAATTGAGTTTGAGTGAGGTGAGTACAATTTATTTGGTTACTCAACGGAAAATTAGGATACCAAATTGAGATGAAAACAAGCCAGTACATAACTCAATGACCCAAAAAGTTATCTGTAGTTCTGATTAACTGTTATCGTTAAAGCCACAGATTAATACAGAATGCTTCTACATCAGGTATGAACACCTGTGAGCACAGGAGCAAGACACCACCAGTTACTAAAAGTCCTTTTACGTGTGCTTCAGGGACTCTGCCCACATATCCATGTACCAGTATATACTGAGGTAATTTTCCATGGCCATGTTGCCATAACATAGTAGCTCAAGGGAGATAATTCTGTATCATTTGTAACATGACTGTGATGGAAAAATAAATTTTATACGACAGTCTTAAACTCACATTCAGTTTCATTCCCTTATTTCCCTTCTATATTTTATTATGTCAAGTTTTGGAAAAATAAATTTTATACGACAGTCTTAAACTCACATTCAGTTTCATTCCCTTATTTCCCTTCTATATTTTATTATGTCAAGTTTTGAAATCCATTCATGAACTTGTTCCAACTGCCCTCGCATCATAGGGTTTGCATATGTTTAGGTAGACTGTACCATTTAATCTAAACATACCACATTTTCACTAAACGAGAAAAAAATGAATTCACGAAACAACCATGTACATTACATTAACATATGATGCTCGTAAGTAACCATGATAATTATTCTCACTGTAAGGTGTAGTTACATGAATCGGACAGAAGTCACGAACTGAATTAGGCTGAAGGGGTCATTGTCGGCACGGGTACTACAGATATGTACCCCAGGTACGTTTCTGTATACAGATATGTACCCTGGCCATAATGAGAATACAGAAACGTACCCTAGGACGATTCCATTCCCATTGTGTCGTATTCTTGCTCAGAACTGTCATGCTGTTGTATTAGATACATTTGATTGCGTTATGTAATTAATGAGAATACACAGTAAAGGATATTTCGCGATGCATATGAATACCACTCGCGATAAGTTGAACAGAACAACTACATGCGGTTTTGGTTTTGGATTGCGGAATATTGACTGGTCCGCCTTTTAGGGAACCGGGTACATTTCTGTATTTTGACTTTGTTTAGGGTACATATCTGTATACAGAAACGTAATTGGGGTACGTATCTGTAGTAACTGTGCCGATAACGACCGCTTCAGCCTGAATTAGTCTTATAAGGCAGCCTATTCACACATTATAATTTAACAGCATATACACTGAATATATATACTCAGAATATGTTCTACCTGTCCAAAACACGCCGGTTTGGGCTCCATCAGGAAGTTCCTTATGCTTCTCGTTGATCGACAGGCATATTAAATTCGAATTTACCGCCGCCACATTGAAGATTTGACATTTTGAATCTCACAAGTTCAAGAAGCCACTGCTGCATTTTAGACGAACAAATTTACACCACAGTACGTTGCATTCTCCCTAGGTTAGCTGGCCTCTTGTCATAATCTTGGGGAAAAAATGTCCTTATTTCATAATATCCGAGAAAACTTCATAAACAATAACATCAACAATAACACATTTTCAGAAACCGGAAACGGAACAGGTTCGCGAAGCCTGGTTGGATTGCAAGATCCGGACCAAACCGAACATATCCAATATTAAACCGGAGGGTCTGCATTATCACCTATTCTCACGAAATGTGCACCATTTGTAATTTTATGTGTCTCCGCATAAAAAATAGCTTTTGACTTATTTCACCTGTTAATTTCATGTTTATATGTGATTCACGGTAAAAAGTTAGTCAAAATCACCAAAATGTGCATGTCTCCAGTGATAGTACATAACGTTTTGAGTGAATATTTCAAAGTAAGTACTCATCAAAATTGACAAACTTTATGGATAACAACTTCTTTATTACGAGAGTGCGACGTTTCGATACAGATTCTTGTACCGTTGTCAAGCAGGAATGTAACATACATAGGTGCAAAGTATATATACTGAGTGTAAAGAAAAGAAGATTACAAGGTAATTAACACAACAGGGTGGGCTTAGAGGTGATGAAGCCAGTGGGTAGACAATGGGGGAAGGCATAGAAGCCAGAGATGTACAAATGAAAACGGGGGTAGTTTAAACAAGGAGGGGATGTTTATACAGCTGATTGGGTTTGGAGGAGTGCATCATAAGCAAATGGAATGTAATATCTCTGGCTTGCAAGAGTATTTTAATTAATGGAAGAATACCTCATTAGTGGAAGAGTCTACTTTTCTAAAGGTATAACAGCATTTATGTGATGTGCAGTCAACCCTAAATTTGTTTTGATAAGGGTGTAGGCGAAATGAGGTGTAGGCGATATGAGGTGAGGCCTCTGCCTACAGTCCCATTCTGCCTACACGTTAAACAACATGATAAGGTCCAGTGTTGAGGAAGCAAAGTTAATCTACGACCTATTCTAATTTACTGAAATGAACTTGACCAAAAGTCAACTGTAGGCAATACGGGGAAAATGACCAAAAAATAGTGTTTCTAGGTATAAGGTATCTTTATTCTTTCTGAATGTATTTCATTCATTGGAATTGACAAAATGTCATGGAATATAATTCTTCAACTGATGATGCCATCCCTCAAGATGGTTATTCGTCCTGGGCCCAATATTGCCGAACCGTGTCCATGATGTTGATTACCGGATTGTTTGGTCAAGACTTGATTATTCACAGACTGCCGTCATACAGCTGGAAACTTGCACAGTGCGGCTTTAAACAACAAACAAAGGAAACGCTGACGCAACAATCAACCACATGAGCGACGACTGATCATCGATGACGTTGGCACCGAACTCTTATATGACAAGCATGGTTTGAAGACCGGATGAACATCATCAATTGTAGATAAACGTCACAACTGTATACTATATCAGGATCCCGGGTCAGGATATATACAGGCCCTCAGTATGCCGCCTGTGAGGTGAGGTGAAATTGGGTTTAACGTCGTGCTTGAGAATATTTCGCTCATATGACGACGTGCATGCGTGTGTATGTGTATGTGCGGCTGCTTGTACTAGCCCAGACTGAAGCTGGTTTTATAGTGCCAGCCCACTGAGATACCATGCTGCAGGGAAGCATGAATACCCCACTCAGACACAGTATACTGACTCCATGGCGACCAGTCCTTGTTGTACCCATTAATGCCGAGCGCCAGGCAGGTACCAACAAGTACCATATTTTAACGTCTTTTGGTATGACGCGGTCGGGGATCGAACCCGCGACCTTCCGCTCTCCGGGCGGACGCTCTAACCACTACAACAAGGAGGCGGTCATGCCGCCTGTGGCAGAGCCGACTAAATTCTGGTCCGGTCGGTCATGTAGAGACCATATAGCTGATTGTGACATATATGCTGCTCGCTCTATCAACCACTGGTTTGCCTGGCCCCTCTTGATTATTGCGTTTTGAAGTCAATATACATGCGAACATTTGGTAGATCATCTGGTATACTGAAATATACATATGACAATACCCTTCGGCGATATATTTTTCAAATTAATTACATGATTGGAATGACAAGTGAAACAGTTAATTACACGATTGCTGAATACGAATTGTCGGTGGACAAATTACAGATGTGGATTTCAATACGATGTATTAAAACGTATAATGTACTGAGTGAACAGGTACGTGTATAAAAGAATGTATTTTACCAGGATCATAAGTAACGTTTGTGTAACATTATACTATCTACATGACCGACTGAATACCACTATGAACGTGTTGACTACATGTTTTCTAAAATGTTGCATTTTTGTGTAAACATTATATGTACATCTATGTCATGACCGAAGTACCCCTACCTAACAAGATGGAGCTCCTGCCTGGCCCATATACCACAGCGTACACAACACATAACACCTACTTGATTGCTGGAATATGCTAGAATACCACATTTACGGATTACACATCTAGACAATTCCCCCGAATGACGCATTTGACACCGTATTCTTTAAAGTCAAATTCCTGAACTAACTGGAGAATTATCGGTCGCTTGTAATCGCGGGGTCAAAATACTCACGTCGTTTTATTTTCTATGTCTTTCAGATAGGCTATGTACACTTTACCAAATGGTGGGCACACGCCGTTACAATTGTTCTTGGTGTAGGGGGCCGATTAGGAGGATTGATGAGCGGGGATTATGCAGATGTCAGTTGTGGCAGGACTTTTGCTTCTTTAGCTACTGTATTTCCAATTACTGTGTCAATTGTATTCTCGTGTTACTGTCGTAACAATGGACGAATGTTGACAGGGAAGACCAGGTGCTGTCCATCTCCCAGATGGCAAGGAGCTACGTTGAGTAAAACCTACTACGAAGATTAATTATATTAACACGACAGACAAAACGAAGAATGCATTAACACACACATTACAAATATCCACATTACAAATTAATACATACATTACAAATATACTAAACACACAGGATATGAATTAATTGGATTTTTTAATAATAAAGAATGTGTTTCAGCCGGTTCATTCTCACTTATCCACCACCCTTTAGTTTTGACAAGGGATTAGATGGGATTAGTTGACACGGGTTAGTGATTACACTGCTCACTCTGAAATTTGGTCCTGGTGGGTGACACTAATTAGCTGATTTGCCCTGTTACAGTGAACAGTGTTCGTGAACTTTAATTAAATTGTGTCGATTATGCTATTTGTGTTTTTAATTCAGTGAACACTTTTCACTATTACACGATTATAAAATGGTACATGAGGTTCTTTAAGGTCAGTCACGATGGCTAACCAACAGGTTAATGTCCAGTTTATTCCTAATGGTAGAGGTGGTCAGTACTTAGTGTTCCAAAATTACAAGTTTGTAGTTAAAAGAAGACGAGAACATCTGTCCATTGGAACTGCGCCCAGAAGAACTGCCATGCCACGGTTAACACCAAAGATAATATTCTCACGTCCTACAGAGACCAGCATAACCATGCATCTGTGGAGAATAGAATCGCTGTAGATTCTTTCTTGGCCAATCTTAAGGACCTTGTCCGAAAAGATTCCAAACCAATTCCATCTCTTTATCAGGAGGAGTTATCAGGTAAATATTAACATAAATGCTTGGCAACTTTTTAATTACTATTAAATACTAAAATACTACAACAGTTTTCTTTGAATTTAACATTGTGTTTCTCTGTTCTAGGTCTGAGAGTGATGAATCCTGACATCATTGCAGAAGTGCCCATCTTTGACAGTGTACGTCCTGCTCTATACCGCTCCCGAGCCAAAGACATCCCCCATCTGCCAGCAACTAGATCAGCAATAGATCTTCCTGATGCATATACTAAGACGCATGCCAATGACAACTTCCTGCTGTTTTCTCACGGCGACCATGACAAGATCCTGACCTTCGCGACTGACGAGAACCTGCGACTTCTCTCCGAAGCAGATGTGTACTACTGTGACGGAACATTTGACAAGTGCCCTGGTGTGTTCACCCAGCTTTACACCATTCATGCATTTGTGCAAAATAAGATGTGCCCTTTGGTGTATGGTCTGCTCCCAGATAAAAAGCAGTCGACATATGAACGTTTCTTTGAAAATGTGAAGAATGTAGCGGCCTCTAAGAACATTGTATTGATCCAGTGAGTGTGTTCACTGATTTTGAGTCAGCTGCTCAAAACGCCATCAAGATGACTTTTCAAAATGCCATATTAAAGGGTTGCTACTTTCACTTTAGCCAGAGTGTTTGGAGAAAGTTCAGAAGCTTGGAATGGTAACTGAATATAAGGACAACCTGGACATAGGTCGTCTTGTAAGACGAGCGATTGCTTTGCCCCTGGTACCAGTGGACTGTGTGAGTGATGTGTGGTGGCAGGCCCTGGAAGATGCACCTCCTGGGGTGGAACAGTTTACAGACTATATGACATCGTACTGGGTGGAGGGTGACCATGGCAGGACCATGTGGAACCACTTCGCCACCGAAGGCCCCCGCACTACTAATCATGTTGAGGGCTGGCACAGGAAGCTTTCCTGTTTAGAAAACCATCCCAATATCTTCAAGATTATTGAATTCTTGAAAAAAGAACAATCTTACGTAGAGGCATCATGTATGCAATTAAGAGGAGGTGCCAAACCTCCTCCCAAGAAAGTTAAATATGTCAATTTAACAAACAGATTATGTAACATCAAACAGCAATTCTTGGCTGGCCATATGGATGTATATGCATATTGGGATGCAGTATCCCATTTAACAGGCTATTGAGGATTGTCATAGATATTGAATGTATTGTTAATTTTGATATTGTATGTATTGTTGAAATAAAAAAATGTAGAAAGACTTACTTTTTTACTACTACATTCAAGGGGATCTTATTTCACAGGGAACAAAATTTCAGGACATCTATTGTCTTGAGGATTATTCCGCTTCAGTGACTTGTCCACCTAGAACAATAGGTGGTGGATAAACGAGAAGACCCCTTTCAGCCATTGCTTTTGTTTAAGAGATTAATTTTATTTAAAAAATGATTAATATTCTCTTTAAGTTGCTAAGGATCTACGTTGACTAAAACGTACTACGAAGATTAATTACATTAGCATGACAGACAAAAAGAAGAATGCATCAACACACACATGCATCAAAGAGTTATTGCAAATATGCAAGACACAGAGGACATATACCAAGTGTTTATATCCCGGTACATTATGACTGTTTTTCAGCTATTGCTGTTGTTTTAGACATTACTTTTGTTTAAAAAAAATAATTAATATTTTTAAAAAAATAACTTCCTTTTAATCTTGTTAATAATCTGATATGCCACTGACAACTGTATCGATTATACGAGAGCATCCTGCGGCGTCTGCAATGTAGTGCTTTTGTCCGGATTTTAAAACTGACGTCTTTCGTGGTACTAGTTTCATTACAACATATTCACATGGACCATTCGCCGTCCCGTGTAATCTAAAATCACCATTAACATGGTACACCTACCTATCAAAGAATACGAGTCTGTACACCTTATTAGAAATAATAAGAATGAAAGAAAGAATTATGTGTCTGTATAAATGTTTAATTCATTAATATCACCAATGTTGGATACTCGTTTTTTTCTCAGTATGACTTTCAAGGGCCACTGATCTAGATCAATTCCCCGTACTTGTTATTGCTTTTTTTCATTTACCCAGATGATTAAAACAATTAAATGCAAAGTTCCTGATGGCCATATCAAAAGTCTGCAATATCAATAGTATACATGTATAATCAGAAAGTATATTTTCCTCTTGGGGAGTGCTGCGCCAAACAACAAATACACTTTCTTCAGAAACAAATGTCCTTTCTTATCCTTGAATATGCCACAAGCAGGTACACGTATACTTGAAGAGGAATATCTAGCTGTACACAAGCAGAAATATATTTGTATCTCAAGGGGTGGGTGTGGGTGTGTGTGTGTGTGTGTTAGAAGAAATAGTGTGTGTGTTGTGTGTGTGTGTGGAGCTCCGTACTCTTGTCACTTACGTTAAACAGTAGTGCAGTTCAATCCGCATTGAAACAGTATCAATATATATATATAGATAGATGAAAGAAACGTAGAAAACAGGTATAAACTCAGCCAAACTAATGAATACATAATTGGAATTTTTAATAATTTACATGTGCAGGGCTGTAAACTCTCAAACGTGAAATGGAAATGTCAAAGACATAAACAGATTCTCAGTAATGTATCGCAAATAAAATGATATTGTGAAAATGATAAATAAAGAAAACAAAAATAAAATATAGATATAATAGAGGCAAAGGTTTAACAGACTAGAAATACAATATCCGTGAAGTTGCACAATACAATAGCTCATATAATTATTAGGTCATCAAACTTAGTTTGTGGCATGTCTTCAGTCTAATTCTTTTCTTTCTATCGAATGTCTGGATACACAAACTCGAACAACTGTTATACAAAATGAATACATGACAACAACTTCTTTTTTATTCTTTACACGACTTTTCAGAGCCAATTATTGCTCCTTCATCAGGTGAATGCTGAGTCAGTACAAAGAGTGAATATATATAAATTTATATTTAAACATGTTTACACAATGCAAGGAGGGAGAATGTCATAAAAAAGGTGCGTCACAAACAAGGGGTTCTATACATATCTACAACTTCGGATATTTACATTTGTAAATTGCGAACACATAAATAACAAGCCCATCCCTTTCTTCGTGAAGGAAAGCTTTCAGCAGACGCCTGTGGAAATCTATAATAGTAAGTCACGCGGATAGTAGCACAAACAGGATGCTGCCATTTTGGGAGGGAGGAAAGAAGATGGTCGCGGAGCGAGCGATGGGCTAAGTGTCAAATCATACAAAAGGCGATGTGGTGAAACAGCGTAACAGCATGGAAACTATTCATTTTCGGAATTACTACATGTGGATTAATTTGAGGTTTGATTAAGCCAATACATCGCGGATCGCTCATTTCGTGTTGTTTACACCAAAAATGGCATGAATAATGGAATCGGTGCCAGGCATGGCGATGCAGCCTCCAAGTCGGGCAGTGCATTGAGTCATTAATGATAATAAGGTCATTGGACTTGTCAATTTCGATATGATCACATCATATTTGCTTTGAAAATCTCTCTGAAGTACATTCACAGCAATATAATGTTAGTTTTAAGACGATACAAAGCATTCTGAAACGATGATGATCGCAGACTAAACTGAAGAATGACAGGAAGTTGGGTAATGAATTCCAAAATTCTTCTTTTTTGACGAGACCATAACTTCAACTCAGAAACCATGTTCAACCAAGGCTCAAGTCGACCTACGAGCAAGCAAAGCAAGTTTGACCAAGCTCTCAACCTCAGCATGAGTAGAGCAAGTGGAGGTCAGCGCGACCTAAATGTGGACAAAAGTCCTGGCAACATTGGGCAGAGAAGTGCATCTCTCGGTCGTGTCCGGGGCAGGACATCGTCCGAGGGGTCGGGATCAGGGGCTCTGGGATACCAGCCAGGAACAAGCCGAACCAGCCCCCTAAGTCTTCCCATGGATAACTACAGCTCCCTCTATGGATCCACAAACCAGGGATACATCATTGAAAATCTTGGCATAGCAGGTATGTCCCTGTCAGGTAAAAGTCCCATGGAGCCAAGCAGTCCAGGTTCATCTATGCACAGCAGCAGGACTAATAGTTTAACTAACGTGAGGGACAGATCGCTAGATCGTCTGGACAGGGAACATATTTTGATGGGTGAACGTTCGTTAGATCGGCACATTGACCGCATGCAACTGTCCACCCCAAACATGTCATTTAAGGAAAGTTCATTGGAAAGGGAGAAGCGAACTTACAATCGTGATCGATCGCTTGATCGTGATCGAGAGTACCCTCACATGGGAGCACGGTCTTTGGAACGGAGTGAGCATTCTGTGGGAAGATCTCGATCCAATGAAAGGAACGGGGACTACATTCCCCCAATGGGCCCATACCTATCTCCAAGCCCAACATCACAATCAGAATATAGGAACTCCCTCATTTTTGAACTCCAAGTGCAGGTTTCAGAATACCACAAAGAGTGTGCCAAATTACAGAAAGAACTGGAATCAGCCAAGGAGAAATTAAGCTCCAGTATGAACAGCATTAAGACATTTTGGAGCCCAGAGCTTAAGAAGTTACGAGCCTTGAAGAAAGAAGAAACTGCAAAATGCAACCTTTTGAATGAACAATTAAAAGTAGCTCAAGCTGAATTAAAGGTAAGAAAGTAAATCGTTTGTGTTTCAGGGATTATATTTTGGATATTAAGCTCTCAATGCTTGTGGAGTCAGTGATGCAGATGATACAGACAAATCTCTCCTGGGTTTTTTTTTGAGATAAATAGAGCTTATGGTAGCTTATGCAGCTTACGGATGAGCTCATAGAATTTAGGGCTTATGAAAAAGCACCCTTCTTACAGCTATATCATACTTGCTGGGGTCCTGGGGCCAATGTTCCAGGCAGACTTATGTCAGTATGTGTGTCTGTCTGCTGTAGTCCTTCGCAGCAATCCATTTTACTCATTGTACTTCTTGCCAGAACTTAATGTTGAAAGTTTTGTGGAGACATTTAGATGATTAAATCCATGGTCTATGACTTCCATGTTAGCCTAGCAATGGTTGTAGATTTAATAGTTAACTGCAATATGCATATATCACTGTAAGGAAATCCACAAAATAATGACACAACACGATTTTCCCTCCTACGCAATTCAGCTTTATCTTCTGGGAGAGATTACAGATACAGATTATCTTTATATATGTACTACTGTACACTGCTGAACTTCATCTCTTTTTAGATACAAAGAAACAAAGGCACACACACACATACTACTACACTATCAAAAGAAGATGAAGAACTAAATCTTTTGATTGTGTCGGGTGCTCTGTAATGTCATTTAATTGGTGCACAAACTTAGTTTCATTGAAACCTGTGAAGATCCGGGTTACAATTGGTCTTCAGCAACCCACGCTTGTTGTAAGAGGTGACTAACAGGATTGGGTGGTCAGGCTCGCTGACCTGGTTGACACATGTCATCATATCCCAATTGGGTAGATCGATGCTCATGCTGTTGACCACTGGTTTGTCTGGTCCAGACTCAATTATTTACAGGCCACCGCTGTGTAGCTGTAGTGTGGCGTTAAACAACAAACAAACAATGTTTATTGTATACCAAGTTTAGTTTTTCTGTAAGATGTGATCCTTTGTTGTGAGGTAAGGGTTTCCTATCAGGTTCCTTTCGGAGGAAGCAGGCAGGTTGCCGCAACACATACTGATGTAGCAATTCAATGTGAGATGGCAGTGATTGAGGATAATTGAGTCACTGACTTTTGACGATGCAGATTACGGTGTTTGACATTTCGCATTTGGGTTAAATTTGTATGCCAGCAAAATGAGTGATCCTAAATACATCGGTTTCAATCGTTTTGTGAGACACTGGTAGCTTCATCTAAACTGTCAGCTTGTGAAACTGTAGTGTGAATCTCCAGTGAGGAAGCAGTTGTAATCATGCACCTAACTGCTGACAGCGTAACGACAGTTATTGGGGCAGTCAGGGAGCCTTGTGGATAAAGTAGTTACTTGTCACACCAAAGACCCGGGTTTATTCCCCACATGGGTACAAAGTGTGAAGCCCATTTCTAGTGTTTCCCACCGTGATATTGCTGCAATATTGCTAACAGTGACGTAAACTACACTCACTCACTCACTCTGACAGCGGAAGGTCCAGGGTTCAAACCCAGCCATGTCATACCAAAACACTTTAAAAGATGGTACTTATTGTTGCCCTGCCTGGACTGGTCGACTCAGAATCTGAACGAGTTAGTTATCAATATTAAACTGAAGCGTGGGTATCTCATGTGGCGCTCACTATGAAACTGACAACAGTCCAGATGTACAACAACTGATAAACAACTACCTTACTGTTTAAACTTGAACATGATGTGCACATGTTGATGGTTCATTATGTATGAGAATGCCACTCACGAAATGTCAGGTTGAACCTCAGACTTCATAATGCTGGAATGCATGTGACAATGTGACATTTTAAGAAATACCATCAAAACAATTTCTTTCCTACTTCATATAAAACAATGTTCATTTCTGTTGACAGTTTAATCTGTTATTAAATTTAATACAGCCCTCCTGGGACTTACCTTGGCCTGTGGTCTGCCCAGAGGTAGTGTGGCAGCAAATGTCAGTTGAACTTCCTAGTTCATATGATCATGGTTATGCCTCATCATGTTGATATTATGGCTTTGTAGAAGTCCAGAGCCCCAGATAAGATTTAGCTCATGTGGGTACTGTACCCACTGTATTTTTGAGTGGGTATTATGTATTTTGAGTGGGTATTTCATTTTCCGTTACCCACTGTTTTCAAATATGTGCGTATTTCAGTCATTTTACTCACCTAAGTATTACGTCATTGAGTAAGTTTACTAAGCAGGTATGTTCTGCCTCATGTCATACCTAATCAAAACCAACTTAAATATAATGGAAATGATTTCATAAAAAATCACTCATCCTATACTGGCAGTACAACACTAGTCCTATACTAACAATACAACTTGATAGCAATTGATGTCTTTTTCATTACGCAAGCGATTTTTATAAATATATTCCGTACGCATTTGTTTCAAACTTTTTGCGTATCCAACATTTTAGATGCGTAATTGGTACGCAACAATTATTTTTGCAGTGCGTAATTGGAAATATTCTATGCATATTTTACCCAGATACGCAGCTTATCTGGGCCTCTGGAAGTCGCTGTCATTTCAGTGCTAACAGAACAATAACATCAACTCTAAAGTTAAGATTGATTGGTTGGTTTGGTGTTTAATGCTGTACTCAGCATTATTCCAGCTGTATGGTGGCGGTCATGATCATCAATCTACACAATTGGGATACGATGGCACTGAATTTATGAAAATAAGAACCCCAATATTGGAAATATAATGTCATTGTTTAACAATCTCCCTGTAAGCTTGGGTAGATTGCAGTCACTGTTGTTAAATGTATTTGACACTTTCAGAAAGAACTGGGGGCGGTGGATGTTTGCTCATCACACCAAAGATGGTTCGGTTCCTACATGGGTACAATGTGTGAAGCCCATATCTGGTGTTCCCCACCATGATATTGGTGGAATATTGCTAAAAGAGGCGTAAAACTATACTCACTCACTCCAAAAGGAACTACACATCTTGGCATTATGGCAGCAGATTTTCTTTTCATAACAACAGTAAATTATGCATAGTTAGGACATAACCTGCTGAATATGTAGTTGACAAAACAATGTTGTACTGAAGCTGTAAGAAGTTGAACAAGTGGGTGAACCTGGCAACCAAACTGATTCAGCCATAAAGCAAATACACATTCAACCTTGAATTGCTTGGGTGGTCCTGCCTTCTGAGGTGCTATTGTCTGTGCAGAGAGTTTTGTTCCTTAGGCATGCCCAAAATCTATAATATTGGATTTACATCCCAGTTCACCCTGACAGGTTTGTGCAATGCTTGTGGGTTTCACCAAAGTTGAGACCAGCTTTCCATGAACATCAAGTCAACATTTCAGTACTGTTCATTCACTGTTTTGACCTTGAATGGAGTGTCTAAAGGTTTCTTAAAACGAGGAAAATTTCAAGCTTACAAACGAGTCTGATCATTCTGATATAGAGTAAACTACGTAAACAAAATCATTGGAACCACTTAATTCTGTTTATTATGATATAGTTTGTAAATACACATTCACTCACTCACTCTACCCGTGAAGATCCGGGTTAGAATTGGTCTTCAGCAACCCATGCTTGTCGTAAGAGGCGACAAACTGGATTGGGTGGTCAGACTTGCTGACTTAAGTTGACACATGTCATTGGTTCCCAATTGCGTAGATGGATGCTCATGCTGTTGGTCACTGGATTGTCTGGTCCAGACCGCAGCCATGTAGCTGAAATATTGCTGAGTGCAGTGTTAAACATTGCTTGCTCGCTCACTCACTCACTCACTCAATTAGTATGTTCATTGATGTGCTTTTTGAGTCTAGGTGTCTAAATCTGTAATATATACATTGTCAACCCTAGTCAAACTTTAAAAGAAATAGTGTTTCCATCACTACTATATATTGTAAGCTTACGTTGTATGGCTGTATCATGTACACTCATCACTGTGTTAACTGCATCATCAAAGATGTATGAGAGCTTCACAGTATCCTCTCTCTGCAGCATCAACCATTGTCAACTCAGCACACACACGGCCAGCTGATCTACTTACCAGCATGCAGGATGTGTTTATTCTGTCAACCAAGCAATCCAGATTAAAGAGCTTCAGTTGCACAGTTAAGCTGGCCATTTGTCCCACAAATTGAATAAGGGATGAAGGGTTTCACATCGGTCTGTACTTAGGCTACTTTTCAAGTTGTTGAAAGATATTTTATGAATTTCAAATTAATGCTCAAGAAGGATGTACTGTTGAAAGTAAATCAATTTATTGAAATGTCTGCCCAAATCTTTAAACCATCAACATGTTCTTGACTCTTAGAATCTGTTTCAGTAGATTTTACTGTAATCACATTCATTGATTTACTAGCTGATGGTACAAGACTGAACAGACATTTACCAGACACCTTCAGACTAGAAGCTTATAGGGCTGTGTAGTGGCAAATAAATTGCAGTGTAGTATGTGGCGATTCAGGCACCCAGTTTGACTACCCGTCCAATACACAACCTGTTCTAGTTGAGTTTATATTTACTCGCTCTCTCCCCTCCATCAGGTAGACTGTTCCACCCGTTCACCAACACTTATAAACAATTATTATTGTTATATCTGATGGTACAATTGTACCAGGTTCATACAATATTTATTTTTATTTCGTCAAAGCAGAAGCCTGGATAGGCAACAAGCCTAGTGGCTGATATAAGCGCCGCTCCAGTACATTGTTCAAATAGCTGGATACATAAATGAAATAATTTGACAACAAAGAATAATACTGAGTCAAAATAACAGATAAATGATTGAATACTAATATACTGGGAGCTAATGTATTTGACAGTGAATAACACTGATTGTACATGCAGATCTAGACTTGCACAAGTCTCTAAGGTACTGATAGTTATTTTAATTAATAATTTCTATAAAATATAAGTATTCCTCTAACGGACTGGGGTCCTTAGAACTGTCCGCTTGTCTAGACTTGCCTCTTTAAAGGATAGAATTACTATACACCAATGGGC